AAAAGAAAATGCTTTCGTATTTAAGTATCAAAATAAACTTAATTTCATCAAAGGAAGTATGACCTTTTTCTTCGTGACAAATGTAAATATTGCAATTGTGTACATTTTCCTCTCGTTTTCACCACCAGGAAACCGATGGGATCATCTTTTGGGATCATCTTTGTAACTTCATAGGGTTTTACAGTCCATGTGCCCACATATTAACTCTTCTCACAGAGGTAAACTCTATACAAAATATCCCCAGTTCTGATTATATGTATATCTTTCAAATAATTTCATTATTTTCATTGTATTCTTATGAAGTACCTCAAATCCACAGTAGAGCAAAATTATAATCTGCTTAGTAAGCAATGTATTATGTAAAATGAATGACCCTTTTCCTTTTGCACACAGAGCATATTTGCATATTTGTATAATATGTATATACCACTGGAAAAAGACAGAGGACATTTGCATTTTTCCCATAAAAGCAAAACATTGAATAACTCTCAAAGCTAAATGGTAAATCTTCAGTGTAAATTCTATGAAAGGTAAAGGTCTTAGTTTAAGTTGATACTAATTTCACATTATTTTTAAGCTGGCAGAATTATTTTAACACTTTACTAGTCACATATTATATATAATATATATAATAACCATATAATATTTTCTTGATGAGGATCAGTTAAGCCATTCCACTTACGGAATAAATCTATAAATGTGGTGTTTTAGTGAGTTTCATATTATTTGAAAATAACTCTTATTCAGTTCTCACAATAATCACTTCAACTTCTTAATTTGGTTCTTGAATTTAATCCTTGGACTCTTGGAACCCTGCACCAACCCAGGATCACTAGGGACTCTGTCACCTGTGCTCTTTAGGTCACAGAAATTGAACAGGGCTTTCTGGGAAGGTAAAGATCCCCTGTCAAGCCCACCCTCACAGCCCTCTAGAGTCAGCTGTTGCTGCTGCTGAGGGCAGTACAGCAGCAACAGCAGCAGCCTGAGCTCCAGCTATCCTATGATGTTTCCAGGTCACTTAGTCTATAAAATTTATAGGATGGGGGAGGAGTGTCATGAGTTTTTCCCTGAGCCCAAGAATAACGCCACCTTTGATCTGTAGAAATGAAAAAAAAATGGAGCTTTTCCTTTGCAAGTGGGTTTTAAATATTTCTCCATTAATAGTTAATGCGCATGCAGTCCAGCAGAGTGACAGCTCCATGTGATTATGAATTCTGGCTTCGTAACTCTAGTCCAAATAGGAGCTGAACTTTCAAAATCACAGTGGTTACTTTTGACAAATTAAATTGTCCTAGTTAGGAAGGTAGGAGGGAAGAAAAGAAAGAATGTGGGAGAATGGGAGTAAATTCTCCTTGAAGGTTGTTCGTAGATTGAGGAAGGGGGAAAAAAAGGAGAAAGGACAAAGTTTGTGTGCTCCAACTGGAGATACTACCAGTGTTTAAACAGAAAGTCCCCATCCAAAGATTGAACAAGACAGAGAAAGGGCAGGAAAGACATTGGCAATATGGCTCAATGTTTCAAAACAAAGAAGTAAATACAAGGAAGTAGTTAATTTTTAATAAGAATCAGGCTGCTCTTAGGACCCTGCAGTTTAAAATTGACTAGAAAGAAATGGTCATAAATTTCTAACAATCTGAAAATTACAAGAAGTAGTTTAAATGAAAATCCACTTTAAATCTTCTTTGTTAGATCTGTTTTTTCTCAGTTCCTGGGGCATTTTGGTGGTTTGGGGTGACCAGATAGCACAATAACAGGTTCCCCACTCAGTAAGTCAGCTTGAATGGATAATCTGGAATATTTAATCTATAGTTCCATATTTAGGAGTTCAGATGGTTTTCTAGCAGAGACCTTCTGCCCTACCCAATACTGTGAATATCAATTAAATAGGTAAAGTCAGGAGGTAGTACCTAAAAATGTTAAGTAATAATTGATAATAATAAAGTTTAAAATGATAAATAAACTTCATTCTCACTGACAACCATTTTGCTATATTTTCTCTTGCCCAATATTTCCAAATGTGTACTTTGGAATCAATCTAGGACTACACAATGCATGAATCAGGGTCTGAGCATAACTCTCTATGCCAAGAAAGGACGAGATATAGAGAACGCCCAGAGAGAGAGAAAAAAAAGGTGCCAAATTCTATGATAGCAGGAATTATGGGTCTATTGTTTCCTGAGATTTTACTATCACTCAGCTGAAGGTTTGTCTTAAAAGTTTCACCCTAATTTTTTTCATCAATACCAGGGATATGAGTTTCATTCCCATCCTTAACTATTTTTTCAACTCAACAACTATTAGTTCAGTACAAGCTATGTAAGATACTTTGCTTGACAACATAGGATATAAATGTTAGGCATTTTTCTTAGTGTATACAAGTTTTTTAAAGAAATGATGATGTAGATAGATTGAAATGGATCAAAGATACTGTGAAACGGGTCCAGGGCCCTGTTGAGTTGTAACAATGACTGGGAACATGAATAATAAATATTTTGTATTGAATGGGATTATTCCACAAACTAACAAAAAAATGGCCAAAGGTCAATGTTGTCCTAGGTAGTGGGTACTGTTAAAACAATGGCATCTTTCAGATCAACAAATATAAAGATTAGAGATGATTAAGAAAGTCTCATATGTTATTGAAACTCACAAAAGGCTTGGGAACAAAAAAATTGTACTCCTTCAGAGGTCTCTATGATCAATAGGCTACAAACCTCCTCCCCATAGAATGAGTTCAGTTGATTCCTGGAAGAGCAGACTAGACCAGAGGAATGGGATATTGGAAATGTGAACCTAACCTGGGGATTCTGGGGAAAAAACAAAAATTAATTTTCCTCCCTCAGTTTTTCTAATGTAGAAGCCACCCCAAGTTCTAAATCACTCCTTAGACAATATCCTCAGGATTGCTTTGGAGGTTTCTAAACCTCTGGAATAGTTTGGGGGCTTATATACAGAGAGACTTTAAAAACCTGTAACATTTGCCCTTAGTTTCCAAATCAACATTTAATTTTGCATGTACACCAAATGCAAAGTTAGTGCTAATTTAATGAACTCAGATATGTTGAACAACAAAAGGAGACAGATGATGACAGGACATGAGTCACAAACTAAGAACCACAGTACAGAAAATGTTTGGAAAAATACTATAACTCAGAAATACTGAGTGGGTGGAATAATGGCCTTTAATATGCCAGAATGGGAATTCTCAGGCAGAGCACTTACAAGGAAACCACAAGAAAAAGAAGACTGCACTTTTTGTTCAATGATTTCCTATTAATTGTGATGTAAATTATATGGATGTGATTTTGACAAAGAATAGCACTGTTTCTGAAAAAAAAAAAAAAAAAAGAGTTTATGTGCAAAATACAAAATGCATCAAGTAGAAAAGAAATGTTATTTGGCATCATGAGTATAATAAAATCTGAGATAACAGCTTATGATTAGGGAACTTTTCCATTATTTTCTCCTGTTTGGTTAGATTTTTAATGCTTAAATATTAGGAATAAAGTAAACATTTTGTTTTATTTAATACCTATATGGATTTATAGGCATTTTCATATATACATATATATGTGTGTGTGTGTGCGTGTGTATATATAGATATATATATATACACACACACACATATATCTTGATCTTAACATGAAATGTGAAACCACCTAGCTTTGGTGATATTAGGTGGACATTTGGTGTCAAAAGATATATTGCATAGCTTTGTTGTTAATGTGGAGCTACCCATGTAAGAAAATAGTTAATAGTCAACAAACTCAATTAATGTTGAACAGACTCCTTTAAGGAGTAAAATGGTCCCATTTACTGAGTCCCTGGAGAACTTATATCTTCTCTTAACCAAGATGTTTCTCAGGGGATACTAATTAAAGTTGACCAATCCCTTGAAAAGTAAAAATATCTATCCTTAGAAGTGGTAAAAGTTAAAGTGATATATTAAGGAGAGGTAAGCTGTAATGATAAAATTGAAGAAGAAAGAAGACAACTTTTATTTGACCTTGAATGTACTTCTTATTCTATAAGAAATTTTAAAAACCTAGAGGGTAGTTGTTTCTTGTCATTATACTGTTGCTGATTCTGTGGTTAGTTATTAATTTTATTTTTTATGATTCACAATCTGCTCTTTGAAATATGCCATATGCTCAAAGCAATTCAAGGATGACAACTGTCAGAATTACTCCAATAAAAATTGCCTAAATGAGGAAGATTTACTGCAGTCTGATATTTCAGTGGAAAGTCCCTCTACCCTCCCCAACAGCTTTTTCAGACACTGTGAATCTTACAACCATTTTTTTTTTTCAGTCAAAATCACATAGCTGTTTTGTAAGAACTTCTAAGGCTATTTAAGTAGAACTGGTAAAGCACAGTGGGCTAAGGGCAAATTAACAGACATGGAACACAATATATATAGTTACTGGATGGATTGCCTGCAATCAATATGTGAGTTCCAAGGCAGTTTTCTTAAATCACACGCAAATATATTGACTTAATATGACAGTGTCTGTTCTATGTATCACTAATAAACATTAAATTGGACAAGCCCTGTACCTTGAAAGCAGTGAGCCAAACTGAAAGCAAGTTTCTTTTTTCTCTGGGAAGATCTAAGGGATAGATAGAACCACCTGAGTGCGCCAATCAAAACACATTTTGCTAAGTGTTACCAGTCCATTTATCCTTCATTTTGTTTCAGTCTATTTATTAATGTAGTTTCATTTATTGCTATTCATCTTGAAGAAAAATCTTTGTCCTTCTATAGAATTACACCAAATAGAATGTGATAAAGGGGACTTTCTTGCAATTATGATGTCGGTGCAGCCTGTCAGCACACAAGGGATGGAAATGAGTTTGGGAAGAGGGAAGGGAATTCTAATAGACACCATGATACATAAAATGAACGCAAAGATATCCTGAGAGAGAGAGAGGGAGAGAGAGACTTGTCAGGCTAATCAGATCTTCCACAGCAAGGTAAAGGCAAGAATGGTAGCTCTAACCTTGTAAAGATGCTGCTGCTGCTCCTCTGACATCATCAGGTCGTGGCTGTCCATCACAAGGGACTCCATGTCAATCAGCCAATCCCAGAGCTCCTGATATTCTGAATCAAAGTCCAGAAGCCTGAAGATAAGGCACAAAAATGTATTATGCATAAATACAGTATAGTTGTTAAAATCTCATATTAGAATAATATATTCTTAAAAAATCTACGATCTTCCTAGGTTATACCTGTAAGAAGAGATGGGGAAATTCTCTGTAGTTACTCAGTGAGAAAAATAGTAACTCAACCTTGTGACATAGCTACTTCTTAGATTTTGAAGACATAACATGTAATCCTAATGCTCATACCAGAGACATAACGCAATTATTTCCATATGCTTATCCTTTCTAAGAATTTGCAGCACATGAACAAAATGACCACTACTGTGTCCTTGAAAAAGAGCCATACTTAATGGAGAGAGTCAGTGTCTTGTAAAAGGTTACATGGTCCAGAATTTTGGGTATAAACAGCATCCTCAATATTTGAACCTCTTTCTTTGCCTACTAGATTTTCTGTAGATATTGCATCTTCAATAGATTTATGATTAACAATACTAATTTCACTGACTTCCCTACAATGATCACAATACATTATCATATCCAAAATATTATTTTCACTGGGAAACGACTCAATCTATTTATCTGTCCCCCTGCTGTCTATCTGCCTATCTCTGCAAACATATATCCTACATTTATTGTCATGGATGAGTAGCCAGCATTTCAACTTAACACTCAGAGATAGGCTTGAGTGACTCTGGTAAGCCAGTGAGAACCAGGGGCAGATCCAGTATTAGACAGGTGTTCCCCACAGACATGTAGGAAACAAAGGTAAGGACAGGAAGTCAAAACAATGAATCTTTGAATAGCCAGCAATCATTAAAATTCAAAGGAGGATCACTATGGTTTTCAACAAAATAAATCATTAGAATAAGGAGCTTAAAAGGATTAATGTGATTCTCTATTGAAAGCCTGGTGAATAAGTAAAGCCCAGATTCTTCTAAAACACTGTGATCAGAAAATGAAAGTGCAGGATGAAACACTATGACTTTGTCCTTCTCCCCAAAAAAATCATCCCCCTAAAAGAAATCCTAGTCTAATCAAACTGTAACTGACCAAAAACCTATGCACTAATGAAGTAGCAGCCTCAGGTATAAATCTGAATTTTATGCAGTATCTTATTACTCCCATATTCCTGTCTCTATACATTAAATATGACTGCTTTCCAAGAAAAGGAGCATCACTTTTCATAATTTACAATTTAATCTTAATAGAACTGTCAAAAAAATTAAGGCGTGTCTAATGATAGAGAAGACCAGATCTAGAATTGTTTATTTTTTTTTAAATAACTTTACCATAATTGTAAAGATCCTTGATTAGGACCATAAGTACCCAAGGGCAAAGGTCATCACTGGCTAACACATAGAACTGATTAATAAATGTTTACTGAATGCCAATGACAGGTGCAGCTGATGTAGCCAAAACCTTCAGTAAGGTTAGGGTATCCTAGATCAGGGCTTCTTAAATTTTATTGTGTATGCAACATAGCTGAGAATCTAGTTCTAAGGTGAGGCCTGACATTCTGCATTTCTAACAAGTGTTGGCAACTAGCAACACTGCTGGCCATGGTCCTTACTATGAGTAGCAAGGACTTCCAGAATACACATGAAATTTTAAGTAGCACGTTAACGTACTTAAAAACAAACCAAAAAAGTTTTAACAGGGACCAACTTACTTTATTAACTGAGTGACTAATAAGGAGTCACTAATAAACGTTTGCTCACACAACAGATGCAATCATTTAGAACTACCTCCTAAATTATGGTCATCATTTATCTGTCCTTGCATCCTTCCACATATTAGTCATAAAGACTTGGGAAAGGTGGAATACCACTCCCAAAATTAGGAGAGTATGATTCAGGGCAATATTAAAAACAAAGGGGAAAGGAAAGGAAAGGAAAAGCTCACTCCTTCACCTCAGTGGATTTGCAAAATAAGAAGACAAAAGGAGCAGGTGCTCAGATGTGTGTCCTCTCCTCTCTCAGTCTAACACCTAGAGGGGAGGTAAGTGAGACAGAATGAAGGGGAAGTCAAAAGTGCAGGAATGTCAGCTCCATTTCCCACTAAGAAGTCTAGGAGGAGATTGCCTTAAACAGTGTTCCTCATAATAACTGGGAATGGAGATGTTGTAGTCAGAGAGGGAACTTTGGTCAGAACTCCCTTTGCTACCTTGTTCTCTCATGAAAACCCCATGAGGTTTCTAGGAGTTCAGCTGGTGAACTTGACAGAGTCATTGTCATGGCAACAGAGTCACAAGGCCCCCAGGAGAGCCAGGGGGGTCTCTGAAGACAGATCTTAGAGAGTTGGCAAGGCCAGTGAGGACTCAGATAAGGCACAGTCAGCAGGAAATACTTGTGTTCGAGGTAAGAGATAACATAGCCATAGCCCGCTGTGGGGAGCAACCTTATAATGTCCAAAGCAAGACCTATTTCAATGAATACAGCCAGATAGTACCCAAGAGTAACATTAAACCATGGGACCCTATTGCACAGCAGAATCAAGAGGTCATGTAAACCTCCTATATGTTCAGATTCTATCCTGAACAAAAGAAGTGAGAATAAGAAATCTGAAAACAAGAATTTATCACAAGAGTTTGTTCCCCAAAGAAATTGTTAATTGATTAATATAGGCTATAAGAATTATGTTTAAGAGACTAAACCCTGATCTTAAAGCAAGGTTTTTTTCCTTGCTTTATTAGGAAAGTATATATTTAGGATGTCTCATAAGAATGATCAGTCAGCAAGAGAAAGTAGTCTATTTTCTATATTTGTATAAAAAAAAGAAAATCTGATTATTACTAAATAATTTAAGGCCATGGGCTGAATTTATCTTCATTTCCTCAGAGCCTAGGATGGTATCTGGTAAACGATGATGAATGAATATAGATAATGAAACCAAAAACCTTAAGTAGGACAAGAACGACTTCAGAAGAGCAGCACATTAACAGAGATAATAGTATCTCATCCCCACATATATTACCAAAGCAACCAGTGCAACACAAAAAGGCTTTCTCACTCATTCTGCAGGTGAGATTTTGCCTTCAATGTATGATAATGATACATCTGCTTACTTAAAAGATGAGATGCAGTAAATGGTCAATTAATGTGAGTTGCCTATCCATTCCTTTAGCATCTTCCTCTTTTCTATAGTGAAAATTATAATAGATTTTAAATAAATGGAAATATATATATAGGATGATAGATGTTCAGATTCATGAGCATTTTTACTGGCTCTTTACTATGCCTTTATATTCACTGAGCTATTCCTTCTATCAAAAGTCATTTCTTCCAGTTAAATGCACCTTGGATCTATGCTGGAGATCTGCAAATGATGAATGAACCTAACACAGATAGTCTTCCTTTCTCCAGTCTAGCCTGTTTTTTATCTTAGTTGACAATATTCAGGCTTCAGTTTGTTAGGTACAGTAAGTGCTTTAGTTCCATATTTTGTTTCATTAAGTGCAGAATCAACACCAGTGTTTTCCAAACAGATTTCCACAAGGTCATAATACTGAGACCTTATAAAAAAACAGACAAATAAACACGCTTTTTAAGTATTTGCACCTGATTTCAGATTTCTGGCGACATAATATATACCTTAGAAAAGAGTTCAGAGTTTCCCAAATTAGTTAAATCAAATGTCTGAGTTTGTAACAAATCACAAATGAATTGCTAAAGTTTCTTTGATGATTCTTTTGAAAACTTGAGAAATAACTACAATTAAATGTACTTTTTTTTAAGATTTATTTATTTATGCATACAAGAGCTGGGGTACAGGCCAGAGATGTGGGGGGGGGGTGAGAAGATTCACCAGAGACAGAGCAGGGAACAGAAAAGACAGACTGACAGAAATACACTGCTGAGGAGAGCAGCATAGGAGAGAAATAGACAGGAGAGTTCTGCATCGCCATGTGGGTTTCTCTCCGGCCAGCTGGGGATCGAGCTCATGCTACAGAGGCTGTGGATTGCTTCATAGTGTGGTGTTTAATCCTTAGTGCCGCCAGGGAGGCCCAAATGTACTCGTTTTTTTCAGGAAAATTCTTAGGTAAGGAAGTAGTTTACTTTCTTATGTATATATAACCTGCAAAGTTGTGCTAAGTATTTTTTTAAGTGATTTTATGAAAGACAATGTTTTTCAGGAATAGTGCCAGGTACTACACAGGAAAACAGATAAGATCAACAATGAATGAATTTAACAAGAGTAGCATAGAACTAGCCAACCGTTCTATATCCCTCTTGAAGAATATGCTGATTCTATTAGGTCAATTCAGAATCAGGTTTTCCTTGGTGAAAAATGCCCTTATCTCTTCATTTTAGAAAGGACAGCAAGGCAACTAAAATTGTGGTAAAAAACTTGGACTCTTATAAGGAATATATGTGTATGAGAATTATTTCTTTGGAGAAATGTTTCTCATAAAATTTCATTTGTAATTGTACTTGAGTTATTTTCAGCTCATTCACTCAAACATACAATCTCCTAGAGGTTAAAACATCTCAAAACATATATTTTGGTACTCTATGAAGATGTTATATTCTCTATGAAGATGTTGTAAAGCAAACTTACATACACTCTATGCAAGTGTTACCAGAATGAACACATCACCAAAACGGTGTTCTTGTGGATACTTTTCCTTTAAATCATTATATACTTGATCTGAAATGAATTCATAAAAAAACTGCTAGACATTCTGTTGCAGGTGTTAATATTCTCATTTTAGGAGACTTAAAATTTCAATCAAGTGTCCTAAGTCAAAATCAGTTTTTGTTAGACAATTAAAGAACTATGCTAAAAATGGGTTTATTTCATAGTGTAAGAATCTGATATAGAAAGAAACAAGGCTCTGGAGAAATAAAAGTACAATTTTTTCTTTAGTGTTTTTTTTTTTTTTTTTCAAAGTCTGGGTTAAATATTATAGGTAATTGGCTAAATTTTCCCCAACATCTTATCTACATTTTATTCTGCCTTTTTAAGGGTACAAAATGATTCCAAGGCCTTTCACCACAGAAATAAAATACTAACAAGCT